CCATCAGAGCCAATGTAAAACCTCAAATGGAGGAATGGATAAATGATATATCTTTCAGATGATCTTCAAATAGCATTATTTGCATTTCATCTTTTGGTGAAATTGGACAACAAACAGTTTAAGATTATAATCTCAAATGTTTGCAGCCTAACTTGTTCAGTAGAACTTAATTACAGTGGCGCCCTTCTGCTGATTTATTTTGGCTGGTATATCACAAGAGAAGCCAATCTACAAACCTGACTCTAATAGTTCACTGCACTAAGGACAAAGTTCACTCATGGATCACCCAGCAACTCGGGAGATAATGAGTAGAAGAAGGAAAAGAGGGATGTTCACCAAGAAAAAGTCATCTACATAATTTCTGGAAAAGTCCAAACCGACCATCAACATTAAGACCTTCAAATGTGTTTTCTCAATAATTCTAAAGACTGCTACTTAGCAATGTTTTCAAAAGGGAAGTTACAGTTAAGAAAATATAAAAATAAGAACAAATTCTTTAAAGTCAAAACCATGATTATTGAACTAAAAGTTCTAAATAGCAGCATTGACAACACTAAAAAATGAATTAGTAATTAGAAAGCAAACATATTAGGGAGGTGGTTAAAAGGATGACAATTGTGAAGAAAGAAAAAAAAAGACAAGGAAGATACTTATATTTCTAGTCCATTCAACAGCAAGTTATGGCAGAGGCTAGCTAGCTGTTCACCAAACCTATTTCGTCCTCCTCCTGGTCACACAGCTACAGTATATTTGTAAACCTCCCATGTAGGGTTTGAGCTCTAGACAATGTAACGTTGGAAGAAGTGATGTTTGCCCATGTTTTAGTTAGCTTTTATGGTCTCTGTGACCAAAATACCTAACAAGAACAACTTAAAGAAGGAGAAATTTATTTGGGGCTCAYAGTTTCAAAGGTCTCAGTCTATAAACGGCTGACTCCATTGCTCTGGGCCCAAGTTGCGGCAGCACACCACGGGAAAAGGGCCCAGCAGAAGAAAGTTGCTCAGCTGGTAGTGGAGTCTGGAAGCAGAGAAAGGGAAAGGGGGAAGGTGCCACAGGGAAGAGGCACATTTCTAGGACACGCCCCCAGTGACCCAACTCCTCCAGCCACACCCCATCTGCCTACAACTGCCACATTCAAACTAGTATGTACCGATTAGGTTACAGCTCTCATAATCTAATCATTTTACCTCTGAATATTCCTGCATTTAAGGACGACTCACATCCAAACCATAATAGTACATTAAAAAATCTTATTATATTCTTTACTCTATTTCTTCTGTTGTACTCTTGGAAGCTATAGGTTGAAGTTGTAGAACCATAACTTAAAAGAGTCTTGACTCCCTTGATAATCACTTGAGAGGAGAGCTACCCCACCAGGCACATCCATTTTGGCCTTTACATGAGAAAAAAAAAAAAATATATATATATATATATATATATATATTATGAGATTTTGGAGTTTAACTATTACAGCAATTTGCATTATTTAACAAATTCAGAAACTGGTGTTAGAAGCATAATATTACCAACACAACAGCAACCAAAATAAAACATAAAGAAGGGGAAATTTATTTGGGCTTAGTAATCAGGCAGTAGGAATCAAGAATACACTTAACAAGACAAAAGGCTGGACAGCCCTATAATACTGTGAGAAAACATCTGGTAAAACTAGAATCTATAGTAAGAAGAAAAGCATACCAAATGCCAACTGGTCCTGTAGCACTATGAGTGAATAAAAAGAGTTACAGTGCCCAATTGGCACTTACTTTCTGCTTTAATAAGGTATTACATAAAAGAGATAAGCTATAAAAGTCTTCATTAATTTGCAGACTGAAATTATAAGAAATAGAAGACATCCAGAAACTTGAGCCTCAGAGATTTAGAAAGCTCAACACATATAAATTCTAAACAGTAAATGAAAAGAATAAGGATTGAACAATAAAACTCCAGGAAGACTTCTAGCTGAACAAAGTGACTCAATTCTGATGCAGAGATCAGATTCAAATATGGTCTTCCCATCTACTATTTCATATAGCCTCAAAGTAAGACCATTAAACCAAAATTAGGCATGAGGCAAGCACTATGCTTCCCCACCTTCACTAATTCTCTAAACAGGGAAAAAGAAAAATAAAACCATTCTTGAAAACTTTATTTAGGAAACAACATTGGGTATGATGTTCACATAGAACCCACTGGAAAGAAACAGATCAGAAGCCTACCAAGTTTCAAGGGAAGTATAATGCCCCAAACACACAAATCTGGACTAAATTAACCTTTGACTGTTCAGAGCCTTAAAACAACCCTCAGATCCCTAAACTTGCAGGAGCAGAAAGCAGGGAAAGTAAGACAAATATAGATGTAATTGTAGATATAGATATAAATAGAGAAAGAGAGAAAGAAATATGCCTTCTAATGAATTATATTCCCCAGAATTCACTTCAGGAGTATATGCAGGGGGAAAAAAAAAACTAGTGCACAACTAGAAGCATAGCAGAATGATGGACAAAGGAGTTCCTTCTAGACAATCAAGGTCTAAGCAAAGAAGTTCCCCTACAACAATGCTGAGGGACTTCCTAATGTCTACCCAAGAGGACCACATGATTTGCTATGGAGCAGGGAACAGTTTGCCTCCTACTCTTTCCTTTCCTAAATGGAAGTTTTGTTTGTAGTTATTTTTATTTTAGCTTTTTCATTGTGTATTGGGGACAAGAGGAGACACAGGTGCAGATGATTTATAATTTCAGTTAACTGGTCATCAGCCCATGAAGAGCCACATATGGACCTAATGGTGGGGGAGGAGGTGAGCATCCCTGAAAGATACTAGACTTTTGAGATGGATGTTGTAACTAGGTGGGCCACTGGATTCTCTCCCTTAAGGAAGGGGTGGGTGTGTTCTACAGTTATACATAGGACAGAAGGTGAAGAGACTGGCTTCTATTCACCAAACTCTGTCCTCCGCATCTTAGGGACAAAGTGAGATTACATTTCCCAATCTTCACTGTAGATAGGTATGGCCATGTTATCTGAGTTTTAGCCAATGCAATGTGGGCAGAACTAATAATGTGTGAAATTATGCCTGTCCCCTTAAAAATCCTCCCACATGCGATACTCTTTGGTCTTTCCCTTATGGTTGCAATCTTCAAAGACTAGTATACTAAAGACAGCAGAGCCACACAATGGAAAGAGTCTAAATTCCTAAATCACCATTGTGGGGGGAAAAAATCACAAGTCAGAAACACCATTTGGGGCTTTATATAGGTGAGAAATAGACCACTTCCTTTCCTTCTTTTCCAATATCCATGAATTAAAATATATATTAAACATTCACTGAGTATGAAGTATATGGTAATTCCTCTCATATCATATCTTTACTTTCTAGGTACTACAGAAGATTGGAAAATACAAAAGATATCTTTATTCAAAAAATGTGTGTACATATACATGCACACACATATACATCTGTGTGTATATATCATATCAGGATAATAATTCATACAATAAGAGCTATTCCTGAGATGAAAATTTTTATAGGGGGAAGAAAGACCTAATAAAGTCTGAATTTATAAAAGATTTCTCCAGCATTTCTTTGTATGACAAAAATGAGGCAAACAGCCAATCATTTACACAGATTGAGTACCACAGTAGATATATTCATTTCAACCTGACCTGAATTCCGCTAGAGGATCCAATCTTTACAAGTGATTTGTTTGAACTTCAGCAACTCTCTCAACTTCCCCTGAGCATTCATATTCTTCAGAATATTAAGGAATGAGACCAGCTAACCTCATATTAAACAAAGAAATAATGTTCTTAATAGATTCTCTCATCAATAGGGAAGTAAAGTTAATTTCTTACCCAGAGGCCTAGGAAAAACATCCTTTAAAAAGACAACTTCCACAGAGGCTTTGTTCTACACTCACCTATTTTGAAAGTTTGGCAAAAATCAATAAACCAAAGTTGTTAAAGATTTGTACCAGATACCTGTCTTCCTATACCCAGCAATGCAAAGTTATATTTTCAATGATTACTTTTTGTTTCTTTATCRTTATAAAAAATCATATAATTATTTCTATCAGGCTTGTCATTGACTAGTTTTAAATTCTGTAAAGTGCAATGCTAACAAAATTTTTAAAAAGAAAATATCTGCAGTGCCTTAGTAAAGGGTAATCGGCAAATCTCTTGATCCAAATATAATCTGTTCCCTCATTCTCCACAGAATGATAAGAACTACAAATGACCTATTCAAAAACATTGTTGTTTATAAAACCAAAAAACACTTTCCATAAACAACTAAATCTTCTATTTATTGTTGTAGGCTACATCATCAGGTATACTGAGAAGTTTTAATAAAATCAATGTGACTTAAATTTTAAAAAGTAAGTACCACTGCAAGTCATTACTACTCTTTTATTCATAATGACAAAAGAAATCCAGATGTTCTTTGCAGCTTTCATGACTTAAGAGACAAAGATTTAAAAAAAAAATCTAAATATTTCTAACACATTTATTAATTTGTCAGCTATAAATAAATTCCTTTCTGTGATCATGATTCACAGCATTTCTCAATAGAAAAATGATACCTTTTAATATCAGAAATACCCATGTAAAATATGTCCATATTGCTTACATAGTAGATAATCCCTCCAAAGGCACATGCAACGTAATTTAGATAATTAACTATAAGAAGAACTTTAAAATACTATGAGCGTCAAATCATAGCCAAAACCAAGGGAAGTATTTTTTAATTAATTTTCCTCAATTCTCCAATATAAATCATCATAACCAATCAGTATTTACTGAATATCCACAGAGCAAAACCATATAATAGTCAATAATTCATTGCTCTGTTAAGACAATAAGAAACGTTTTTAATTATGTGTTCCCAAAGACAAAGGACTTCCTTAAAATGATAAGAAACAGGACATTTGGCAAAGAGAAACCCATGTTTAACTGAATACTTGCAAAGTCACTGGCCAACCTATCACAAACCCRAGACCTACTTGCTTCATGGCAGTCTCTCCAATTTTGTCTGAATGTTTGCGGATGCTCTCCAGAAAGTCTTTGAGATCAGACATAGAAACATCCTTTATTTCTTCTCGAAGCTTGGGAATGTTATCCACCATCACCTTGCAGAATCGATAGTGGCTTACTTGAGGCAGATAGGTATGTTCTAGATGTTCCAGAGTTTTCAGTGCAGGATAATGCCTACAAAAGGAATTTATCACCTTTAGCTGGACTTTTAGTCTTCTTTAGGGTCACAGACATATTCCTCAGTAAAAATTTTTAGGCTAAATTAGTTTTCAATGTACATTAAGATAAATACAGTTTTAACTAAAACATCAATGAAAAAAATCTCATTAAAAAATAACATATGCTTTCAAAGACTAGAAAAATATAATCAAAAAGATTTTATCAAAAAATGTGTAAAACTTAAAATTTATATAATAAGGAATTAATTACATAAAGATTAAAATAATTTTTAAAAGATCATCTCAGTGACCAAAAAAATCATCCTATAAAACGAAGTACTGAAAGCTACACTTCTACTACARCAGAGTAAAGAAACTGGCAAATTTTCTACCCAAGAAAAAACAAATACACACTGGACAAAACTACCAAAAACAACCATTTCAGAGTTCTGGAAATTGAACAAATGAGAACAACAAATCCAGAAATGTTTATTCATGAGAACTGCTCAACAATGGGGCTCTTGTAGTAATCTTGCCTGGGGCTACTTCCATCACTCACCTACTCCTACCAAAAACCACCAATTACCCTTCTACTGGTCATTWGTCATAGCTAGTCATGAAAACTTGACATTAGGGGAGGACATGATTTGGAGTGGAGGGTGAAAACCCAATATTTGAAGTAGTAAACTCAATAAAAAAAATTAAAATTAAAATATGAATAAGGAAAGTCTCCAGCTCTACTTGTCTAAAGTTGCGGTCTGGGTTGGGGCAAAGGGCAGACTGAAGAAAAAAATTCAACAGGAAGGTCATAGAAAGAACATACAGAGAGAGAGGCTCTCTGCACAGCTCTAGCTGTCTGACTGTGTAGACATACATGGGACAACTAAAAGGGCCTAAGCACCTCACATGTGCCTGGCGGACTAGGAGGCTATCAGAAAGTAAAAACTCAAGCACACTTGGAACCTACCTGAATTTTTTAACATTTTTATTGCTACATTATTATTATACATAATTATGGGATTTATTATGCCATATTCATACATGCACATAACATATTTGATCACTTTCATTTCCCTCCCCTTCACCTTCCTCCCCCTAATCCACTTGTTCTACTCTACTCATCTCCCTTCTATTTTTATGATTATTACTTCAATTAGTACATTATATAAATTATATGGGATTCATTGTGGTATATTCATACATGGATACAGTAAAATTTGGTAGATTTCATTTGCCAGTGTACTTCCCCCCATATCCCCTTCCTATACCTAAATTTTTAACTCACTCCATAATCCACATACAAATCTATTGGCAAAGAGTGGAAACCAGTTTAAGTTTGAGTCCAGCCTCTGACCAATCATTAGCTGATGATATCCTTTAAAAATAAAAGTGAAATGAAATACACTTTCAAATAACAGACAGATAATGCCTTGCTAGCCAACTTGCCTTACAAGAAATACTTTTAAAGAAAGCTCAAAAAGAAGTGACAAGAGTTACTTGAATTCACAGAAGACAATGAAGAGCATAGGAAGTAATAAATGCATACTGATTATAAAATATTAAATATACATATTTCCAGGTGTGGTGGCACCTACCTTAATCCCTGGAACTCAGAAGGCTGAGGCAGGAGGATTGAAAGCTCAAAGCCAGTCTCAGCAATTTATCAAGACCCTAAACAACTTAGTGTGATCTATTAAAMAACAGAAAGGGCTGAGGATGTAGCTCAGTTGTAAAGGGCCCTGGGTTCAATCCTCAGTGACAGAAATTTATATAAATACACATACATATATATGTTACTATGGGTATTATATATGTATATAATATGTATATTATATGCATACAYATATACACATATTTTTCTCTTAATTTCTTCAGAAGATAAAGTATTTTAAAGTAATACAACACTGTATTGTTTGGCTTATAAAATATATGGATGTTATATGTGAACCATAATATAAAAGATGAGTGAAGAAAGGAGTTAGGATGAAGCAGAACTATAACTATGTATATCAAATTTGTAATGGCATAAAGTAAACTATGGTAAATTAAGATGCATATCATAATCCATAGAGTAACTCCTAAGAAAGTAACTCACAAAAAAAAAAAGCCAACACTGCCAGATGGAATTTTTTTTAAAACATAATCCAACTGAATTCTCTCTGAAAGAAATATAATTTAGATTCTAAGACACAAATGAACTGAAAGTAAAAGATGGAAAATGATATACTAAAAAAATAGAATAGCTATGTTAATATGAGATACAAAAGATTTTAAGACCACAAATATTGCTGACAACCCAGAGAAACATTTAATATTAATAAAAGATATAGTATTTATCTTATTGGCCATAAAGCTTTCATAAGCATGGGAGGATAAATAAAGCTAAGATTGAAAAAACTAATGAAAACAAAGTTAGTCATGCATAAAAAGAACATAGGAATTTGGGCAGGGATGACTACTGAGGATGAACTGAGGGGCACTCAACTACTGAGCCACATCCTTAGCCCTATTTTGTATTTTATTTAGAGACAGGGTCTCACTGAGTTGCTTAGTGCCTTGCCTTTGTTGAGGTTGGCTTTGAACTTGTGATCCTCCTGCCTCAGGCTCCTGAGCCACTGGGCTTACATGAACATAACAACTATAAAGGGGAAATGAACTGGTAAAGATTATTTGTAATGCATACATAAAAGATTAATAACCTTTGGTTGTTGCTTTTTTTTTAAGACTACAATTGGGGCTGAGGATGTAGCTTAGTGGCAGATCATGTGATTATCAAGCACAAGGTCTTGTTGATCCCCAGTACCACAAAAATAAATAATTGAATAGAAATAAACAAAGAGAATTTACATAAAAAATGGAGAAATCAACATATAAAAACAAAAGTTGAACAGAAGATTAAAAATGCAAATCAGAAACAGAATTTTATCATTCAAACTGCCAAAGATTCCCTAAAAGATAATGTCTATTATTATCAGTATTGTAATAAATGGAAATGCACAGCCTTCTGGTGAACAAGTTTTCAATGAAGAATGTTGGCAAAAACAACTATTTCAAATATAACATGTCCATGTATTAAAGAAATAGTAAAAAGTCTGTAATACTGTTAAATGAAAATTATTTCAAAAAATAAATCTAGTACTTATCAGTCTTTGGGCTAAGACCAAGTATAATATTTGTTTTTATCRGTGTCATAACTGATATGTTCTCTATCTATGGACAATGTATCAAATGAAATTTTTGGAGCAGGGAGATGGAATGGGAGCCTGCTCCAACCACTCCATCAACTTTGAATTACAGTGCCTCTAAGAAAGGTACAACAATTTAAAAAAAATGATCTTATAAGAATAATCATGACATTTTAAAAACTATGTGTACATATATCATTTATCAATATACCATTAATTACAAAAACACATATAAATAATAGAGAAATGAGTAGAAAAATACATGCAAAAATATTAACCATGATTTTTTCTTTGCACAAAAATATTATGAGTGATAATTTGCTTCTTCAGGCTTTTAATTTCCTAATTTCCACATTTCCCATGATGTAAAGGAAAAACTCAGTTCCATTCCTATAAATTAAAAAGATATATGGGCTGGGGATGTGGCTCAAGCGGTAGCGCGCTCGCCTGGCGTGCGTGCGGCCCRGGTTCGATCCTCAGCACCACATACCAACAAAGATGTTGTGTCCGCCGAGAACTAAAAAATAAATATTAAAAAATTTTAAAAAAATAAAAAATAAAAAAAATAAAAAGATATATAGCTCAACTTTGGATTTTTTAAAGAATGATTTTTGCAACTGATACTAAGGCTTTTCTTGCTCCAAAGCACTCAATACCATAAACACTAAAGACTAGAGACGGTTTGTTTAATTTCTTTTATGTCTTCTCTCATGTGTTCCAAGAATCAAAATCTTAGTTCAAATAAATGGACAGAAGAAAGGTTTATTCCTCCTAAATTTAGGAATAAAAGCATCAATTATGATTAGATCTAAAATAGTTGATTTTATTAAAATTTTACAGACTCAAAGAAAACAGTACAAGTCACATGGTTTAATGTAAACAGAATGGTGTTTATACTACAATTAGGTATGAAGAGCTATGTGTAATAAAATGCAGTTCCTCTACAGAGAAACTTTAGAATGGATAGAAATTAAGCCAAAAAGATAAACACACTTTGGGGTTTAGTTATATTTTGGAACACTGTTTATAGAATGAGAAAAATCTAACAATGCCTGCAGACACAAGGCACATTCACTGATGAGACACATGGCTCATGCTGAAAACATCTGGTCTGTCAAATAGCTCCACATTTTTCAAGGCTAATTAGTATAAAACTCAGTGATTCCTTGCAACAAAGATTGTTACCTTACTTCCCCCATTATCTCTTCCCCAGCATACCCAGGTTCCAACAATAACAGATCAATTAGATCATTCAAATTTCTACTATATTTCAATATCAATGGCAGATAAACAATGACAGCTAATAAACACCTGTATAACAGCCACCAAAAGAAAAAAATTCTACTCCAGTGGTCATGGACATCCCATGCTAGATTCTGACTTTACTTTTGACAACTTCCAAACATTAAAACTGAATCCAAAGCCAAATTTCTAAGTTTCATTTGCATGTGTGTTTAATCTCTTTTCCCCTCTTGCAGAGCCCCTAATAGAGATATCAGCATAAATAAACTAAAGGAAATATAAAGCAGAAAATAAAAAGCAAGAAGGCAGAAGGAAAGGTCTAAATGATACTATAAGCAGGATAAATAAGGTCCAAATAACCTAGACAAAGTTGAATGCCATCTTTTTTTTAAAGAGAGAGAGAGAATTTTTTAATATTTATTTTTTTAGTTTTTCGGTGGACACAACATCTTTATTTTATTTTTATGTGGTGCTGAGGATAAAACTCAGTGCCCCACGCATGCCAGGCGAGCGCGCTACCACTTCAGCCATATCCCCAACCCTTGAATGCTATCTTAACTAGAGGAATGTTGATTCTAGGTATATAAAA